TCACTCTAGTCATAGTTTCCTTGGCCGTGCAAAAAAGCTTTTTAATTTGATCAGATTCCATTTATTTTTGTTGCTGCAGTGATTGCTTTGGGGGTCTTCTTCAAAAATTATTTGTCTAGGCCAGTGTCTGAAAGGGTCTTCCCAACATCTTCTTCTAGGATTCTTAAGTTTCATGCCTTAGGTTTAAGTGTGTTTTCCATTTTGAATTGATTTTTGTGAGAGATGAGAGGTAGGGGAGCAAAAGACATCGTATAATGAAGACATCTGCACCCCAGTGTTTGTGGCAGCACAATTCACTATTGCAAGGATGCGGAAACAACCCAAATGCCCGTCGATTCATGAGTGGATTCTTAAAATTTGGTGTAGGTATACAGTGGAATATTATTCAATTATAAGAAACGACAGTGATCTAGTGTCTCTTATATTTTCCTGGATAGAGCTTGAGCCCATCCTGTGAAGTGGGGTATCACAAGAACAGAAGAATGGGCTCCACTTGTACTCACCATCAAATTGGCACTGACTGATCAACAGTATGGTGCTCACACGGTAGCAATATTACTGCAGGGATTAGGGGGTTGGGGGGGGTCGTAAATTTACAACTAATGGACTCAGTGAGCATTGTAGAGGGGAAGGGCATGCCTCTAACCCTTGCTTGGGTGAGGCAAAGACATAAAATGTAGCGAGAATGTTTGTACCCTCATATTATCCTGAATTACAAATAAATAATAAAAGAAGGAAGGTAGCACAGTTTTGCACATCTGTAAATGCTATGCGGCATTTTACCTTGAAAAATGAAATTTTTTCGAAGTTTTACTGAAAATTGGCCCGTCAGGAGAGTTGTCTGAAAGCTGTGAGTGGGTGTGACCCAAACACTCGGTGAACTGAGGCAGCTGGTGGGTGTTGGAGGTGTGTGTGTGTTGTGTGTTGTGTGTGTGTTTGAGTGTGTAGTGTGTGTGTTGTGTATGTGTGTGTGTGTTGTGTATGTGTGAGAGTGTGTTGTGTGTGTGTTGTGTATGTGTGTGTGTTGTGTGTATGTGTGTTGTATATGGTGTGTTGTGTGTTTTGTGTGTTGTGTGCGTGGTGTGTATGGTGTGTGTTGTGTGTGTGTTTGTGTGTTGTGTATGTTGTGTGTGTAATGTGTGTGTTGTGTATTGTGTGTTTTTTGTGTGTTGTGTGTTTTTTGTGTTGTGTGTGGTGTGTATGGTGTGTGTTGTGTGTGTGTTTTGTGTGTTGTGTGTGTAATGTGTGTGTTGTGTATTGTGTGTTTTTTGTGTGTTGTGTGTTTTTTTTGTGTTGTGTGTGTGTGTAATGTGTGTTGTGTGTGTTGTGTGTCTCGTGTACTCCTGCATGGCCCCGTGCGGCTGGGTGTGGCTTTGTGCATCCCCCCTGTGCTTCACGGACGGGACGGAGCACAGGCAGATGCAGAATTTGCGTTACGCTCAGATCGTTCCCTAATACATCAATTGTGTTGGAACACATTTGTGTTTTCAAAACAAGCGAAAGCAGTACTGACTGTGCTTTTCTATTTGTATTTCCTCTCATTTGACGGGCGCCTTACGCTTCTGTTCAATTTGCAAACAGGAGCCGTGTTGCCAGAAGAACATTTTTATCTTTGCATTTAAACATAGGGACGTAGTTAGGTAATTGCCTCATTTTGCTTTATAACAAGCAATTTTTATGTTTTAAAATATTTTCGATAAGGATTGCATCCTCTTTTTAATAAAGATTCCACCATTACCGGATTCCTGTCTGCTCTTTAAAATGAGCTTCTAGTGCTCTCCATTTGCAAGAAAAAAATAAAAAATAAAAAAGAGCCCCATGCCTTTTATTTATTCATTTTTAAAAGGAAGCGTGACCACCAGTTAATATTTATTGATTGCCTGCTGGGCACAGCCATGCCCTTTGCTCAGGTGGGGCACGTTGAGTTTTCTCCCTGACCGAGGTCTTTTTGAGCCTCATCCTCAAAATGTTGGCGTCCTCACAGGGGAGGGCTGGACCAAGACAGCCCATGGGACTGCTGTCCTCCTGCTGGGGACTCGTGAGTTTCCTCCCCTCCCTCCATCCCATTTCTGGATTTTTCCCACTGACCTCTCATCTTCCAGAACCTTCCATGGGGTACAAGGGAGGGAAGGGCGTCATCTTTGCCCCAGCCCTCGGGGTTGGTCCTCTGAGCCCTTATGCTGACGCAGAAGCCACCCTGCCTTGCTTCCTGGGTAACCTGAAGGCAACTAGCCTTCAGGGGCCTGACACCCTCCTGGGGAGAAAGAAACTTGTGGTTTAAGAGGCATTCTCGGGCTCTTCCTGGAATCTTCCCAGCAGGTAGTGACGGAACACTCGTGCTCTGGGGTTCGGATAAACCGTGTTCCCCCAGATGTGTGAGGCTGTCTCTCTGGATGCTGGACTTGGCTGTTCTCTTACAAACGGGGATTTTTTTGTGCGACAGGAATCCTGTTAAAAACTAGCAAGGGATTATTGTGACTTAAGCACCAGGTCTGGCTGCTCAGAATGACACCACTGAGCATCTGGGGTTCGGTGGGGCCAACCTGAAGAAGCTACATGTTGTTGCCTAGTTGATCCTGCTTTCCCAAGCGGGGCATTTCAAATCATTGAACCTGAAGGCATCCTTCCCGAAGGATCCTTGAACAAGGGTCATCTTGTTCAAGCTTTTTCACATTTATTTTATTGTCCGAAAATAAAATCAATGTGAGATGTCAAGCAAGCAGAACCCAATCCAGGGAGGCTGGCTCTTGGTTGAGTTGGACATGGGGTGTTTACTGGTCCCTGTTGCTCCAAGGTGACATTCTGGGATGCTTCCAGAAATGTGTAGGACGTCCTAGAACACAGGTGGAAAACCTCCGCTTCCATTCAAGGCTTTGCATGTTATGGGCAAGGAGACAAGGCTGTAGGGGTGATTGGTGAGTGCCTCGGTGAGGTCTTCTAGCTCCTACCCCTGTTCTTCGTGAATCAGAGGCATCGCTTGTGTCCCCTGTGTTCAAGATTTTGGATTGCCCAGTCTTGGCTTGTGGGTGGGAAGGCTGCAGCCCCAAACCTGCCTCTCTTTTACCCCTTGTTTCCTTCTTGTCCTCTTCCTCGTTCCCTGGTGGTCCCTGACTCACTCAGCCTTCTTCTCTTTTCTGTAAACCTGTGGAGCATTTATGGCTCCTTTGCTAATTACTTTTTTTTTTTTTTTTTTTTTTTTTGAGATAGAGTCTCACTCTGTTGCCCCGGCTAGAGTGCCCTGGCGTCAGCCTAGCTCACAGCAACCTCAAATTCCTGGGCTCAGGTGATCCTCCTGTCTCAGCCTCCCTAGTAGCTGGGACTACAGCCATGCGCCACCATGCCCGGCTAATTTTTTCTATATATATTTTTAGTTGTCCAGCTAATTTCTATTTTTTTTTTTTTTTTTTTTAGTAGACACAGGGTCTCACTCTTGCTCAGACTGGTCTCGAGCTCCTGAGCTCAAACGATCCGCCCGCCTTGGCCTCCCAGATTGCTAGAATTACAGGCGAGAGCCACCGCACCCAGCCCTAATTACTTTTGTGCAGGAGGAGGGGATGGTTTCCTCTGGGCTGTCCCTAGCAGCCAGGTTGTCGATTCTTTGATAAGTAATGGTTTACAGGAAGCCAGGCTCAAGAGTGAATTCTTTACAAGTGTCATCTCGTTTGATCCCTCCATCATGCAATGATGTGGTCATCATTCCCAGTCTCCAGATGAGAGAACTAGGCTCAGAGAGGTGACAGTTGGCTGGATCGTGGTGTCATGTGCCTCACACCTGGGGGAGCCCAGATTTCAGCTCAGGTGTGTCTCATTCCCGAGCTTCAACCCTTAACCACCAGCCAGAGAGGGTGGGTCCAGCTTTGCCCTCTTGTTTTTTTTTTTGTTTTTTTTTGAGACAGAGTCTCACTCTGTTGCCCGGGCTAGAGTGAGTGCCCTGGCGTCAGCCTACCTCACAGCAACCCCAAGCTCCTGGGCTCAAGTGATCCTCCTGCCTCAGCCTCCCGTGCCCTCTTGTTTTTGAGCTCATACTGTCTTGAGAGGGTGGAGGGGAACGCGTTTAAACAGAACCTTTGAAGTTCTCGGGAGGTTAATAGGCATGTAGCCAAGGGGCAACCAGTGGGTGTAATTAATTTATGCTTCTTAAAAAGGTTTACAGAACTTTTAATAGCTTTTGATGTGGGCACGTGATCAGCTGGTGCCCGGGGTCACGTGTTACACTGATAGGACGATACAGGTAGAGAAGAGTGAGCCCTTTTGCACGAGGCCTCGTCTGCTCTGGGTGCCGAGTTCCGTGAGAACATGGACCACGTCTGTGAGGTTCAGATTCTAGCCCTCCAGTGCCTAGCACAGTGTCCAGCATACAGTAGATACTCAATATATGCTTTTCTCCCCCACTAAATAAACAAAGGAAGATTTTGTGATGTTTTTGGGTAAAAAGAGGAGGAACAGACAAACCGTGGAGTAGAGACGTGATAATGTGGGGGGGGGGTTGGCAAACTATGGCGACAGGCCAAGTCTGACCCATGGCCTGTTTTTATAAATAAAGTTTTATTGGAACACGGCCACACCCACTTTGTAATGCATTGCCCATGGCTGTGTTCATGCTATAAGGGCAGAGCTGAGTAGCTGTAACAGACTATGTGGCCTGCAGAGCTTGAAATATTTACCATCTGGGCCTTCACAGAAAACGTTAGCTGACCACTGATTTATAACAGTGCTAGTTCTACTGGAAGGAATATGGAAAATATTCACAATATGCACAAATCCCTGCAAAGAGCTCTCAGTTGGGGTGGGGGAGGACACATTCTGCCAGGGACACCTGCCTGCCCTCCCTCACTGGGCCTTCCACAGCTGGGCCAAACCTTCCAGAACACTTCAGAAAGTCGGTGGGCTCCCCAGAAGTGTACAGTGGGGTCCTTGCAGAGGACTTGGCAAGTGGGGATGTTCTGGGGGGTCAGTGAGTTTGTGTCCTGATGTCCTTAGGACTCTCCTGTCACCCACAGTTCTCCAGAAGTGGCCTTTGGCCAGAGTGACGACAGGAAGGTTCAGTGCCCACCCCTCCATGGCCTCTGTCCAAGCATTTGACCCTCCCAGGGATGGTCTTGCCCGAGGAAGACTGCAGAGGCAGAAAGCGGCAGAAAGGAGGGTGTTGGCAGCCACCCTGCCAGAAGAAACTGATTGCCACCCCGGTCCCAGATGTCCTGTGCTCTCCCCTGCCCTGCTGGGTGTTTGGATCAGGATGTTCCAACTCGGAGAGGATGGTGGAGCCAGTCGAGCACTCGCTGAGATCTTAGAGGTGACACTGATGAGCTGTTGGGATGTGGCCGTGAGTAAGACCGAGTAGAGGGTCTGTCCAGGAGGAACTCACCCAGCAAGGGGAGCTGGGACCAGGGGAGCCGCCAGCCCCAGTCTTCTCCAGCTCCTCCAGCCTCACCCCTGAGTGCCTTCTCTTGCTGTTAGCATAAGGATGAGATCAGGTTGCTTAAGGTGCCACAAAGACCAGCAGGGTCTGTTTTCTTAGTCCCATCTGCCAGTAGACCCTGTCCCTCTCCTGGCTTAAGCCACATGGCCCCTTGGTCTGTTCCTTGCACTGACCGCACTCCTTCTTGGCTCAGAGCCTTTGCACATTCTGTTCCCTCTGACTGGCACTCCCTTCTCCCCGGGCCCCTCCCCCACTCCCCGTTCCAGTCAACGGCAACTCTTCCTTCCATTCTCAGCTGGAGTGTCCCCTCCTCAGAGGCGCCTCATACACACCGCCAGGGATCCTCGTTCCTTTTGTTTAGAGCACTTGTCTCAGCTTGTCGTTGATTGGTGACATTATTGTGAAGTATCTTCCCTTCTCACTAGACTGTGCTCTGTGAGAGTAAGGGCCACAGTGTCTTTTATTCACCATGGCACCCCTGGGGTCTGGGGGGTTTCATGTCCTCTCATCCTCAAATAGGCCAGACAGGGTTCCTTACTTTGTGGTCTCAGGGTAGTGAACCAAGGAGGTGACATCAGAAGGTGACAGTGTCTCTTAGGGCCCAGCTTTTGGAGTTGCAATAAGTCACTTTCTGCTACATTCTGTTGGCGAAGGCAAGTCCCAAGGCCGGTCCAGATTCAAGGATTGGAAAATACAGTCCACCCCTTGGTGGGCAGAGGGGCTTGGTGGCATTGCAGAGGGGCGTGGGCACAGGGCAGGGGGACTCGTGGAATGCCGTTACTGGAGCAATCTAGGATTCTCTGAAACTACGAGAAGCATAGTTTCGAACTTAATATTTTGTCACTTCCCCACATTTATTAGAAGCTATTTGTAGACATGGTAGTTAGAGCATGGATGTCGCATTTTAATCTGTTCAAGATTCAAGATTTAGGTTTTAATCTGTTTCCATGTGATGGTACAACAAACATGTATGATGCTTTGCCCAGTTTTTTAAGAGACATTACCAGGTCAAAGATTATGGACACTTTTAAAGCTATATGTTGTGAAATTCTTTTCCAGAAAGTCATGCCACTGTGCACTGGTGCATCAAGAGGCCCGTCTCACCATTCCTTTGTCAGCTTTAAGCATTATTGATTTAAAAATAGAAAACTTAATTTGATGGATAAAAACCAGAACGTCATTCCAGTTTTTGTTTGCATTCCTGATCATTAATGAAATAAAATGTTTTCCATATTTAGTATCCATTCGTACGTTCCATTTGTAAGTAGTTTCTTCATGTACTTTGCCCACTTGTGTACTTTTCTTAATGATAGTCCCGAGATCTTTATATATTTCTTGATTTTTTTTCTATTTTATTTTGTGCATTCGATTTTGTTTCTATTTTTATATACTTTTTTTCAGAGTGCAATGTTGTTTCTGAACAGACGGTATCTTTCATTTAAAAATGAGATGGCTGTCTACCTCTATTTTCTTGTTTTCTTCTAGGTTTTCATAGTTGTTGTTTTTTTTTTTTTTTTTTTTTTTTTTTTTTTTTTTTGTGTGTGTGTGTGTGTGTGTTAGGCTTTCTGATTCTTGGAACCACTTGGAATTAATTAAAAAAAAACCTCCAAACTCTGATTCCTCTATTGTGAAATGAGTGTTTGTTTCCCACTCTATTTCTATTTAATTGTCCCGGCTCTATTTATCCAATAGTGCTTCCACTGAGCCCTAATTTTTGATGCTGCTTTCTTACAGATTGTATCTCCTAACATACTAAGGGATCTTTTCAGGCATTCTCTCTTGTTCAGTGGGTTTACTTTTCCTGTCCTAATACTACACTCACAGTGGTGGTGGCTTTATATTATGTTTTATTTATAATTGTGCAAGTGCCTCCTCATTCTTTTTCAAAAATCTCTTGGCTACTTTTGTTTAATTCTCCCAGAGGTACTTGAGAATCATTTTGTAAAGTTCTGAAAATCGACTCATTGGAATTTTAATTGTCACTACATTATATTTATCAATCAATCTGTTGCAAACCAGCATCTTTAATATATTAAGATTTCTCATCCAGAAACATGGTACTTACAGCTCCATACTTTTAAACCCTTTCAAATCTCTCAGTAGAATTCTGTGGTTTGTCTTCTTATAGTTTTCCAGTAGTTCTTGTGAAAGTTAACATTTGCAGTTTAATGTTTTTTGGTTGCTTTTTGGAATGTGCTCATTTCCCCCCTTCCATGGTATGTTCTAGTTGGTCATTTTTTAAATATAGGAATTGTATTACTTTTAAAAATACTTTTATTAATTTAAAAATGGCACAGATGCTATGTAAATATTAAATGTTCATTGAAAAAAGTTAAACAGTACAGAAGAACTTGAATAAAAATGAAAGACCTTCCTTTTGCTTCTTCCTCTAAATCTACTCCCTGCCTTAGAGCAAACAGTTGTTAATAATTAGGCAGTAGCTATAGACAGTTAACAGTGAATTATCTATTCATTTGCACATGCATATTTTAGCATAATTGGGATCATACTATATACATCAAGATATATAGCTCTATCTTGATTTATTCAGCCATTCTCTTTTGATAGACAGTCACCTAAATTCCATCCTTATTTCTTTTTCTCATTAGAATCGGTTGTGTACAACCAGGATGCATACTCAGAAGTCAAATTGCTGGGTCCAGGGTTTGTGCAGATTTTTCCCCAGTGGCTAACACAGCAAGGGTTTGTTTCTCTCCCATGCCATGTGTCCAGCACAGTTTGGTGGGGTGTTCTGCTCACCTGGTCCCTAAGAGACTCTGGCTGCTGGTGGATGCCTAACTATTTCATGGCTGCATCATGTGTGACTCGTGGCCTCCTCTCTTGCTTTAGCAGGGAAGAGAGAGAACAGGAAATTAAACATTTCTGCTCAGAGGTGATACATATCTCCTGCTCCCTGACTATTGGCCAGAGATGTTGGCTAAATATTGGCCAGTATGATGGCACCCTGTGTACTGCGTGTGGGGGTGGGGTGGGGAGAAGGTTATGTGATTTAATTTGCATAGATACCTGTTACATCACCCTTCCTAATGGGTGCAGCAGTTTACAAATGCTAAGAGCACATGTAGCTCTTCATATCCCCACATCTTGCCAACATAGGAGCTTATCGACCTGTTGACTTTTTGCCAATCTTTCTCACTGTTTTAATTTTCATATCCCTGATTAGCAATGAGCTTGACCCTCTTTTTAATATGTTTATGCCAATTTTATATTTCTTTGAATTTCGATTTCTTCTTCTGGTTCTTTGCCCATTTTTACTTTTTAAAATCTTAATTGACTCTGAGATTCTTTATATGTTGTGGATGTTACTCTTTTGTGGCAAAGGTGAATATTTTCTCGGCCTGTTACTTGTCACTTTGTTTTTGATGTCTTTTATTAGATGAAACATTTTAATTTTCCTTTAGTGAGATTTGTCACTCTTTTCTTTACAGTCGTCAGATTTTTTTTTCTCTGGAGACCTTCTCCACTCTTGAGGCTCAAAAAGCATTTTTTTTTTTTTGTATTTGATACACTGTTAGGTTTTTGTTTACCTTTTTGAATTCATCTGGAATTTTTTCAGAGGTACTATAACATCTCCAAGTTTGTTCTTTTTCAAAATTGTTGTGGTTCTTCTAGTTCTTTTGCTTTTCCATATAATTTTCAGCTTTTGAAAAAGTTTTTAATGGACATCTAATAATTGTACATATTATAGGATATAGTATGGTATTTTGATACATGTGTATAATGTATAATGATCAAATCAAGGTAATTAGCATATCTATCACCTCAAACATTTATCGTTTCTTTGTGTTGGGAACATGCAAACTCCTCTCTTCTGGCTATTTGAAATATACAATAAATTAGTGCTAACTATAGTGATCCTACAATGCTATATATAGATACAGAACGCTAGAACTTACTCCTGCTCTCTAGCTATCGTTTTATATCTGTTAACCAACCGTTCCGTATCTTCCTTCCCCCCAGCCCTTCCTAGCCTCTATTAACCATCATTCTACCCTCCAATTCTGTGAGATCAACTTTTTTACCTTCCACATATGAGTGGGAACATGTGGTATTAATATTTGTCTTTCTGTGCCTGACCTGTGTCACTTAATATAATATCCTTCAGTTTCATCTCTGTTGCTGCAAATGCCAGGATTTCATTCTTTTTTTATGGCTGAATAGTATTCCATGGTGACTGTATGCCACATATTTTATTCATTCATTTGTTGCTGGAAACTTGGGTTGATTCCACCTCTTGGCTATTGCGAATGATGATGCAGTGAACAAGGAGTGCAGATGTATCTTCAACATACTGATTTATTTCCTCTCCTTTGGATCCATACCCATTAGTGGGATTGATGGATCTTATGGTAGCTCTGTTTTTAGTTTTTTTTTGAGGAGCTTCCATATGGTTTTCTGTGGTGGCTGTACTAATTTGCATTCCCACCAACAGTGTATAAGAGTTTCCCTTTTTTCTGCATCCTTGTCAGCATTTGTTATTTTTTGTCTTTTTGATAATAGCTTTTCTAACAGGGGTGAGATGATACCTCATCGTGGTTTTGATTTGAATTTTCCTGGTTAGTAATGCTGAGCATTTTTTCATATATGTGTTGGTTATTTCTGTGTCTTCTTTTGAGAAATGTCTGTTCAGATCATGGGCTCATTTTTTAGTTGGATTATTTATCTTTTTTGTTCTTGCGCTGAGCTCCTTATATATTCTGGGTATCAATCCCTTGTCGGATGAGTAGTTTGCAGATATTTTCTTTCATTATGCAGGATGTCTCTTCACTCTGTTGCCTGTTTACTTTACTGTGCAGAAGCTTGTTAGTTTGCTATAATCTCATTTGTCTATTTTTGCTTTTGTTGCTTTGGAG